ACCTATTACATTGACACCATTTTTCAACCAAATTTTTGACAGATGGTTTATATTCACAATTTAAAATTTTTCAAGACTTATGTACAGGTGGTATGTACACCACAATGAACACATACAGACAGCTCTACCCTGAGACTCCACATTTAAGGCACAACACGCAGCTTAAACACACTGCATTGGAAGCTCTAGTTTTTTAAGCTATTTCTGCTCATGACTGTTGGAAAAGGAAATTTTTAATTAATGAAGTCCTCCATAAACAGTAAAACTGTTACTATTAAACATATGACATATTTGTTATGTTATTGTGTTTTGCTGCTAGTCATGGTCTGATATAATATTGTATTGTAGCATCCTGATGCACATCACTTATTTATTCCTTGTTAGTTATTAGCTGTCTTATATGCAACTTGCTTTTTAAAACCTAGTTTTAAACTTTAAAATATTTTCTGCAGTCATAACAACCACACACAACACAATAAGAGGAACTACCCCATCACCATAGGACACATGGACACAAAGATGAGGGCATACTACAAAAACTGAATTTATGGACGGAAGCACAGCAATTTCATAAGCAATTTTAGAGACATCTGAAGATTACCAGTGTTGGTCAAAACATGTGGTGTGAATAAACCAGTGATGTAGAAGACATGTTAAAGTTCAAAACTTTTAAAAAGCAAGTTGCATATAGATGGCTAATAACAAACAAGGAATAAGTATCTGACATACTTCAGCCATGAACACTTCAATATGATACTCAGGATCATATGGATATAATCAACTGCAAAGCACTAGTTTACTGTACAGAATACTCTATTTGTTGTACTCCGAATAAATATTGAGAACCAGATCCATGGAATGTTGATACAGTTCTACCAATATGTGTCCATTTTATAACCAATATATGTAGATCTAGTTATTTATAAATAATAATAGTATTTTATATATGAGTAATGTCATAAATAGAACTGTAGAATATATGTAGAAAAGGAATTTTAATATATGAGATTTCCTTATCTCCTCAGAATAATTGGTGAAACTTTTCCACACTTGGTGAATGCAGGCCTTAACAAATGAGGTTCACTTACTCTTGTGGATTTTGAATATGTCAGTATACTCACACCTGAACAAGAAATTCTTACAAAATCACTTTTACAATTAAGTCTTTTACGTTATAAAGGAACTGGAAGGGAACTGCAATATACAGGGTATTTCACGACTTTAGGGCATAACTGCAGGAGGTGATTTCCTAGGTCTTTGTGATCAAAAAAGTTCATATAAACATGTGTCCAAGTTTGGACAATTACGGAGTTATGACCGTTTTTTCATTCCTGTACATGCCCTCGTATGAACCACGTCTGTCATCTGGCAGGTCACTATTTTTAGCCAGCTACAGACAGAGCGTTCTCGTTATCTCAACACATGAGAGCTACATAAGGCGGGGAGGGTTGGTATGTACCCACACGGTTCACAACCGAGCGGCAGCCTGTGTTGCGGCCGGCGGTGGCATTTCCGAAAATCAGTTTTAAGCACCATTAAATTCAAATTAAAGGCAATTTCACGAAGTTAACTTTACATTCATACTTTAAATGCATCATGTATTATGCTGGTTTATTATTTTGTTCCGTTTATTGTCAGTAATCGTTACCTTCTATTCTGAGTTTAAAACAGTCATAACTCCGTAACCGTCCAAAATTGGACACATGTTTATATGAACTTTTTTGATCACAAAGACCTAGGAAATCACCTCCTGCAGTTATGCCCTAAAGTCGTGAAATACCCTGTATATACAGGTAACAGAAATTGCTGTTATTACATGTGTTTATGTTCTCAGAGTTTCAATTTCTTCACCTCTTGACAAACTAGCATGAAATACTAAATGTAAACAGTGCATAACAGAAAATGTGAGTACAAAATACTCTATGCCCTTGTACCAACATCATAAGTGCACTTACTGGAACTCACAATAATGCTGGCTTTAATTTTCATGAGTGCATGTAATTATCTATAAAGACTTTTGCAGAAATAGTGTATGCTGACATGTCACTTAATACTGAAACTGATTTCTACTGCATATAAATTGTTACATTCTGAGATGCCTCATATATTATTTTATATATTCTATAAAAGGCAATGACTGAGAAAGCTGGCTCAAGCAATAATGCTTCTGACTTGTTTAGGAGGTACCTGGGCTAAATCTCAGCTGAGATACCCACTACCCTAATTTGGGGCTTTTCATAGTTTTGTTCAGCCCCTCCAAGTAAAACAATTAATGATATATGAAATAAACAGAGTGGATGTGTGGTAATGATTTCTAGCACAGAGGAAATGTGAAAACTAACCGCTGTTCCACCACACTGAATTAAATCAATGTAGAAGTTTAGGAAGATTGCAAACTTCTTACACTAAATCCAGATTATTTACTAAATGAAAATTAACTGAATACAGGAAAATAATATACTGCTAATATCGGGCTTTGGTTACAACCAGAAAATATATTCACTAAACGGGAAATTTCACCAAATGCAGAAACATGAAGTCAGTAATGACACAACTGCAGAATCTGTAAATTTACTCTAGTACTTCAAGTCAGTCACACCTGGCCCCTTTAGAAATTTTGCAGCTGCCAAATACATGATGTTGGCATTTGTCCTGGCTATCTTGCCAAAGTTCTCACAGTGCTTCAAACTTTACATTACCACTATACTGGCTGTGTTCTTTTCATTCATGTACTGAGATGTTCTGATAAACTGATATTTCAATATGTAAACATATGAAGTTTGTCACATGAATGAAGCTGCAGAATACTTGTAACAATACTGAACAACGTTAATCAAAGTACTTCTTTTTTAAGTGACTTATTTTAATTGGCACTGAACTTGTGCTGTTGAAAATTTCTGTACCAAGTAGATTTTTAGTTCCTTTGTAATGTGAAATATGAATCCCCCTACAATTTTCTGTAAACATTTCATTTATTTAAATACTTTAATACTGACAGTATTAGTTTTGCAACATTTTGGTATACAAAGAAAGCTACCACAATGGAAACTCTGAAAAATCAGAAAACAGCAGAAATCTGTTTTTTATTTACTGTTCATTTAATGACCCTCTCAGATTATTTGGCATCAAATGATTTGGGAAGGTTATGGAAGGATGTGGTCATGACCTAATTTGAGGTATTACCCTGTAATTTGCCTAAAGGCACTGAGGAAGAACTCAAAAAACCCTCAGTCAGGATATCTGATGTCCTGGTTGGTATATGATCTAACCATCTCTTGAACACAAGTCAGAGCATTAGCCCTTGAGCCAGCATTCTTGATTAATCTTAATTAATCTGAAGAGCAACATTAGGTGAATTCTGATTTTCATATAGGGTAAGTGGGCATGCTATAGAACTGACTTTCCCAGTACCAATACTATGAGAGATAACTACAGCAGCACCCTATTCAATGGACACTGATTCAAAGAGTTTTCTGAAAAGAAATAACTTCACAAAATTCATTCAACTATATATTAAGCATCACACTTTTAAATTTTCCTTTATCATTCTCCAGTATACAGGATGCCAGTCAGCTCCAGTTACAGCTTTTGTATTCATAGGCAACATGAAGAGAGATGTAAGATTTGAGGCTTTCACGGTGGTGACTATGAAGAAAGCAGTCTTCTGGGATTTGGCACCGTGTATATGTGGTNAGAGAGATATTTGTGATGCCAGACATTCAATACATTAGTACATACAACTAAATACCGAAGTGGGAATGTTAATTTCTTTACCAAACAGAAGCACTGACAGCAATCTATAATGGCCATTTTGTTATAACCTCCTAGGTGAAAGTTTGGTTTATTATACTTTTACTCAATTACATTACTTTTTAGCGAACTTTTCTCAGATCATCACTGAATATGAGCACTATCACACCCATAAAATTCTTAAAAACCAGTGAAAACACACTGCACATACATGAATGAGTAGTTAGGTCCATCAAGTGCAACAAGTTTAAGATGAGAATATAACAGACTGTCTTTGCATATTTCACCCTCTACTGGCCAACATCAGGCACAGCTAACACTGCATACAAACAAATTTCACATATGATGAACACAGGTTGTCACGAAGGGATTTCTACCATTACAAATTTAAACTAGACCAAAATATTAACCAGAATAGACACATCACACAGGTACCGCAAATCATTAATTACTCTTGATTAATAAAGCCCAAGTAAAACAGATGTATGTAGAACTAAACATATTAGTATAGCACTATAATGTAGCATCCTATTGCACTTTACAGTTTGTGTTTTAATTAGTTCTATAGTCTTATGTACAACAAATTATTAGAACTTAATAAAAGCTAGTCACTTTAAAAGTTTTCATGACATGCTTTGACCAAATTGGTCATCGTCAGATGTTAAAAGCCATGGGTGAGGAAACTGCAGTCTTTCTGCATTGGTGTTTAGCTGCTGATATACAGTTCCCCTAGGGTGCATGAGTGAGTTGTTCATATATGGTTCTCCCAGTGCATATAGCACGGCAAGGAGGAATACACACATGTGCACTAGGTGAACCATATGTCAACAACTAACCATCAATGCAGAAAGACAGCAGTTTCCTTGCCCACAACTTTTAACATCTGATGATGACCAATTCAGTCAAAACATGTCTGATCACTTTTAAAGTGACTAGCTTTTATTAAGTTTTAATAAATTGTTGCACATAACTGTAGAACTGATTAAAAACACTAATATCAGTTTACTGTCAAATGCATTAGTGACTATAGATGGGGTCTGGACTGGTAAACAGATTTGTTGACCACTTACAGGTCGTAAGTACAAATAACTATAAAACTATTGCTGATTTCCACATTACAAACAACCCTATGCTAAGTTTTCTCAGTCTGCTTTCACTAGTCATTACTTGGTAACATCTCTCAATAATGGCTATTCCTCTGCAAAGTTTTCACTAGACATTTCCTGGTAATAAATCTTAACAATGGAGATTCTTCAGCTTCTGTGTGCATGCAGTTGCCTGTTGGTTAACACTCCACACCTGAACTACTGACAACTCCAACCAACTACCCTGGTTATAACATTTCAACACGGACTCCACAGAAAACACTGTTCTTCTATTGTTGTGTTGATGTCTGTTTCCGTGGAAATACGTTTACCGGACTGTTTCTTAAAAATGAGTTGCATTACCGCACTCTTCTGTTGTAGCATGCATGTTGCATGTTGTGGGCATTACTTCGCAACAGCTGCTGTTTACAGAGCCACTGCTTAGCAATTGGTCTATACACACTGTCATATCTGCAGAAAGACAGGAATGCCATCCTGTTCATGTATTTCTATTGCATAACATTTTAATTAATTTTAACAAACATAGCTTATTTCAATTACATTAATATCTGAGCCTAGTCTCAATTTACAATGGTAGAAATCCCTTTATGGCCATCTATGTTCATCATATCATACATGTAAAGTACAGTAATTCTTTGTGGCATCGGCTACGCCTTCTGAGGATGGTGAATAGTGGGCGAAATATGTAAAGGCAGTCTTTTATATTCTCATCTTAAACTTGATGCACTTCATGGACCTTGCTACTAATTCGTGTATTAAGAAGTGCAACAGCTCAAGGTATCTTACACTTCTCATATGTTACTGACCTCACTTAAATTACCCTGGAAACAGAACTGATTATTGTTTAGTACACCACTGCTGGTTGCAGAATACTGAACAACAAAACTCTTCTAACCAGTAAAGCTGAGTTCACAAAAACTGACATTTCGTGTTTGGGTCCTTAGTGTGCATACCATTACGCTCCTGAATATACTATCTGTGTATTTTTATTTAGGGATATGGTCTCCATAAATGACTGAAATTTACTCGAAATCATTGGAGCAATTTTCCAGAATATCGCCATTTTGCATTTTGGGGCCTATCTGATTTTGGAGCTGGAATGTTCAGATTCACTGGGCACTGACCTAAGATTGATAAACTCCTGAATACCAAATATAAATAAAATCCTTCCAGCCATTCATGTGCTGATGAGGTGTACACCCATACTGACAAACAGCATTCCAAAAACCACTATTCCACAATCTGTGGCAAAAGTGTATAAATCCATAAACATTCCAATATTGATTTTTCATGGCCACAATACTTTCTCATATACATTATGGATACATGAAATGAAAAATGAACTGACTCCTGCAAACTCCCACATATCAACAAATAAATTTTCTATGAGAATCACAGTGACAGACTTGTGATAAGATACTGTGGCACATTCGTTAAAAGCCAGAATTGTGGAGTCACAACAGCTGGGCGTTATTAGGAAGCGGCCCATAAACAACAAAACAGAATGTTGTTTTCTGTGCAGTCCATGCCAAGATGTTATAAGTTGGACCACTTAACTGTTGCAATGAATTACAGGGCTGCTGTAGTTCAGTCATTGTGAGCTGCTGCTGTTAGAAGCTGGTAGCTGAGGTTGGGGACCGTTCAGAAACCCAGAGCCAGGGGAACGTCTGCTGCTGCAATCTGCTACAAAGCAACAGCAGTGCAGATATCACTGTGGACACTAGTGCGTGTGTGTAATAGCATTGAAAAGATTAGTCATGAGATGTGTGTACAAGAGTCCAATAAATCTGGTCAACAATCCAGAACCCACCCATAGTCACACTCTTATCATGTGACAGTATGATCTGTATACTAATTTTAAATATTCAGTAAGTAACCAGACACAGTAACTGTCAATACCATCAACCAAAATATCATCAGTCATGCACACATTTTGTATATATTTGTAACAACTAACCTAGTCTAAATTTCATACAAGATTCAACACTGCTTTCATGTGTTTCCAGAAAAGGGGGAGGAACAGGCTGATGCAGGCAGAAGCCCACACAGAAGAAGTTATGAAATTAACTGAATATGTATAAACCAAAGAAGATACACTGATAATGACCGTGAGGACTCGCCTATATAATACAGACTTAACATTATTTCAAATATGAGAGTGGTTGAAGGTTAACCTGGACTTCAGTCTTTTTTTTTTCTGGAGACATGGGCATCAGAAAAATGAAACTCTTTTTAAGGACAGTTGGTGGAAAAACTGCACTCACTGCCTGGCAAGCAGCCATGCACCCCACTTCTGTGCATTATAACCAGTACAAGACGGTGTCAGACCTTGTCACTCCTAGTGTAAAACAGCACTGTATCATCAAATTTCTAGTGAAAGAGATAGTGAATCTGGCAGACACTTTGATAAAAATCAATCCAAAGTATCTATATAGATTTAGTTACTGTTCAATGATTGAGACAGGAGACAGTTAGTTGACAAAAGATCTGAAGGCTCCCAGAGTCATCAGCGAGTAAGATACAGCCTGGGACTCAGAACCAAGGATCACCGTGCTCGCAAAGCCCAGCAGCAATTTAGCTGTTAGTCAAAGTTTTGGAGTAGCTCTTTCTAATGAACCAAACTGAGCCATGCCCATTCAGAACACTTTTTGAAACAATCTGTTGCCCTTCAATCTAACTGTGATTTTACCCCCTCCTCCTCGAACCTGCTGACTTCCTGGTTACCTCCACTCCATCCTATCACCCTGTGTCTTGCTTACATACATACAGCCTGGAGGTCATTTGGGACTGAGTGGTGAGCTGGTTGTAGCTGTGGCCTGGATGTAATACCCTAAGGCGGCTAGGGGAGGATTTCGGATCGGAGACAAGGAGGCGAGCGTTTAATTTCTAAATTCAGATTTGGCTTCTATTTGCCAAATTTTCTTCGGTCATACTCATCTCTGCTGGTTCTGTGGGGCTTGTTTTGTCTATCCCTACCTCATGGGTCTATTCCTGGTGCAGTGTTTTATTGTATTATTCACTCTATTTATTCCTTGCTTTTCTAGCCTTACCCTCTAGGTTGGCCATTGCGTAAAATCAAACAACACCATAGTTAGTGGCACTTTGTGGTAATGTACTGGCTACTGTGTACCTCATGACCTCGATCAATTGTAACTTTATTGTTTGCTTATTACACACCCATTGGACCCCACTGTTACTGAAACCACTGTTGTCTTTCACTTCTTCTATTTACTTCTCCTGACTTCCTTCATCATCCTTTCACTTAATGATGGAAGCAGATCTAGCTTCCAAAACATGTTCTTTCAGAATAGTGGCAGAATAAGTCCATAAACCCAACAATATCAAGAAATAAATTCATCAACCATGTGAACAGCAAGATAAAAGAAAAGTACACATACACCAGTATGGTGGTAGCAAAAAACAGCCATACTGTTCAGACACAGCAAGCATTAGAAGAAGCAAAACACGAGTAAAATATTTTAAACCAAGGGATCATGCAGTCACAGTTGTCACCAAGCCATCTGATATAAATCTTGAGAACTAGTCAAGATGTCCTACAGGTACCCCTTATGCTAAGCAAAGCTTAGCCCCAGCACAATGCACTACTGTTGTCCATGAGTATTTGGATGAAACTTTTGGCAACAGATGGACTGGAAGTGGAGGCCCAATAACCTGGTCCCCCTCGCTCCCCCCAACTTGACTCCACTGGATTTCTTTCTCTGGGGGTACATGCAAAGCCTTGTGTATGAGACTCCAGTGAAGCCACAGCATGATCTTGTGGTAAGAACTGCAGCAGCAGCTGGAACCATGCGGGAAAAGCCGGGAATCTTTCACAGAGTTCAATATAACATGGCTAGGCAATGCAGAACATGCAATGAAGTTGGCAGCCGCCATTTTGAGGAACTTTTATAATGCAAAACAACGATAACATCCCCTAAAACTGATGCATCCTCTTGGAAAATTTTGTGGCCCTTAGTGTCAAAAGGAAGGTTCTCTGGACATGGGTGTATTAAAAAAATATGATCAGATTGAACCCATCTATCTACCACAGAGCGCTGTAACATATGTTATTTACACCCTGCATAAACCATATAAAGAAAGACATAACTCCGTCCTCTACAATTACAGATTAATTGCTGTGAGAGAGAAATAAACAAATCAATTTAAATTAATTAAAACTGGAATTATCATTAAAGAATAGACTTGCAGGCAATAATGAGTGAGAACTGGATAGTAACAAAATAAGGACATGTAAAAGTTGACAGAGAATCAAAAATATAAAATAAAATAAAATACTCTGCAAGAATAACAGTCTGCTATGGCTCTGTGGCATGGAGGGTTATTAATTAGCATAACACATCAGTGCTACTGCTGTTGCAGAAATTGTAAGCCACAATCTGACGTTTACTGACAATAATACATAATTGTCGATGCATTGTATTCAAGCCTAGATATATAAACAGTATTCATGCATGCAGTGACACTCTTCATAGACAAGATATGACAGTCTCGCCACTGATGTGAACAATGCAGCCAAGTCAGAAGGTGACATAACAGATCTGAGTCCAATGCATGTTGCTGCATGCCTACAGATCAATCAGGTCTAGTAGCTATATGCTGATAATGGGCTCTGCGAATATGTATGTTGCCAGGCAATGGCTCAGTAGCTCACATGATAGCCTCAACAGACATGCACACAAAAAGAGAAGAGGTGTTGGAAGTGGCATTTTCTGTGCAGTCCATACTGAGGCTATATAATGAGGACCAGCTGCCATTACCAGTCAGTCAAGTCTACAGTCTCAAAATGACAGACAAGTAGGAGGCTGGTGTGAAATGGCTGCCAGCCTGTGAATACGTGAGTCCAGAAGCAGAGGAAGAAACACTATGATTGAGAACACTACTCTCTGTGTGACAGTGCTCTGCGTGTAGTCACAAGTTGTGTGTTTTAAACACACCAATCCAAACTCGATCATGTGACAATATTTTAGGCGTGTGTGAGTCTTGAATCTTAGATTCAATCAAGGAAAGATCTCTGTCTCAATCTTCAAAAATTCTTGGATAACCATGTTTGCTTCACGCAGTAACATGTAAACTACCGCATGCATCAAAATCCCAACAGCTGGCAATACCGGTACAACCAATTTGTGTAGAAAATCTCTCTCCCTTGTATCTGTCTACTGTGAAGAATGACATGGTCCTATAAATTAATTCTTTTCACTGCAATGATTTATGAAACGTCCTCTTTGAAAAAGGATCTGATGTCAAAAAACATAAGTAGTACACTTCAGTGCATTGTAAAAACGTGGCTAGTGTTATACAGTATACAATGAAAAAATTGGTGTAGTAAAGAAAATTCTAGTTCTGATCACAATTGTTGAAATTCTTTTCAAATTCTTGTCTCAATCACATCTCAAGCTGAAAAAGTAAAACCCCACATACCTAATAATGAGAAGATGTGCTGTACTGCATGAGCATGTAAGAACTTCAAAATTATCGTGCTCAGGATTCAATGATGATTATCATACTATGTTCTAGCTAAAGTACGTACATCAGACTTTCAGTGTGGCTAATGACTCATTTTATAAAATGCAGCAGCAAGGCTAATACAATTTAACAAAATATGAAGACCATTGGCTCTTGAAATTCAAGCAATAGAAATCAGTCTGTGTTTGAAGATTATCACTGCAGTAATTCACTGCCAGTGGGCTGAAAAACATCAGTCAAGAGTAATTCAGTGTCATTGCTCAAGAGAAATGGGGCAAAGTAACACAGTACCAGCAATGAAGTATCAGTCACAGCATTTTTCAGTGTATGGTAGAAAGGCACCAATTCCAGACACAGACTTCAATATTGCACAACAACAACAACAACAGGGCAGTCATCCTACACAATTCAATCAAGTGTAAAAATATTCTATAAATGCTATAAAACTGTTATATTTACAAAAATCTATGGTTCTTTTACTAGTGTATTCTAACAGGTCTCTTCTTCATTATCCTCCACTTTGAACACTCTCTTTCCTTGCTCTGCACTGTTCTCACTACCTGCAACAAAAAATAAACCTACTAAGTTCTTTGTAAGATTTGAGGCTTTCACGGCGGTGACTATGAAGAAAGCAGTCTTCTGGGATTTGGCACCGTGTATATGTGGTGTTAACCGACGTTTCGGAGGAACGTATCGCCCCCATCTTCAGGGTAGAAGAAAAAGTATAAGAAATCTGCAAGCGACAACACCGTGAGAAACGGTAAAGCAGTCTGCTTTACCGTTTCTCACAGTGTTGTCGCTTGCAGATTTCTTAAACTTTTTCTTCAACCCTGAAGATGGGGGCGATACGTTCCTCCGAAACGTCGGTTAACACCACATATACACGGTTCCAAATCCCAGAAGACTGCTTTCTTCACTAAGTTCTTTGTTAAAACAGTCAAACTGTCACTACTTAGCTGCGCATGCCTGTCTGGCTCTTATACAGAGTGTGATGTTACAGTGAACATATTTAATTACAGTATCATATTATTGCATCACGAATGGGCTCTTGTGAACACAGTAATGAACCTTCGGGTTCCATAAAATGCTGGGAAATTCTTGAGTAGCTGCAGAATTGGCGGCTCCTCCAGAAGGGCTCAGCTCCATGAGGAAGTCAGCAAGTAATAAAATGACTGCACATCCTGTTTGAGGCAAGTGGAAGAAACGTATGATCCTGTTGACAGATGTTCGTGTTCAGTATGTGTAATATGGAACATATGGAAACTTTCTGCATCCACTCTAAAAAAAAGTTCTTTAATGCCTTCTTCACAGGCATTTAAATACTGCAGCTGTGAGTAGCATGCAATAAAACTTTCTTAAATTCCCATTTATTTTTTTCTCTACAATTATTTATTTTTTATAATTTTTTAACTATATGGTGATAGATAGACTTGAAAGGATTCTGATGATGGTTTGTGCTGTACAGAACTATTAGGCTTATTTTGGACTCTTGTCCATCATCTGGTATATAGAAGACAAAAAAAAAACAACATGTTTCGGGGCAGGATAAACCTACTCATTTGGGCCTGTTAGAATCCAGTGATTGAGACTAGCTCTTTCTAAGAGGTCCAACTAAGTAGGTTTATCCTGCCCCATCCACTTGAGGGCGGAGACAGATCCAGTCTCCGAAACGTTGTGGTTTTTTGTTTTCTATATACCAGACAATGGATAGAGTCCAAAATAAGCCCAATAGTTCTGTATATGGTGAAAGTAAAATAAAAGTAAAATTTTCCCCGTGCTTAATTAATTAAGCAACATGCCACGTAGACTAACGTAGGAGTCAAGGTATAGCTCCACCATACTTGACCTTGGCATTAAATAGAGATGAAAGGTCAGCTTCTCAGCCTGGCCAATTTACCCCCAGGGAAATAGTCCCTGGTACTCACTGGATAGGAGGCTTGGTGGACCCCAGAGCAAATCTGGATGCTGTGAAATACAGAAAAAGTTCTCACTCCTGCCTGGAATTGAATCCAGCTGACCAGCCTGCAGCCTGTCACTACACCAACGAAGCTACCCTGGCTCCCTTCGAACTACATGAAATGTAACAATAAATTTTTCATTGGAATCCTCAGAAAAGATGGATTTGTAAGGTTACCATACAACATAAGCACGATGTATAACAGTGATGCAAACAGTTGGATTAGGATTGTAACATGATGCAAACAGTTGGATTAGAAGTTGAGATTTGGATTGTAACATGATGCAAACAGTTGGATTAGAAGTTGAGATTTGGACTGTAACATAACAGTGATGCAAACAGTTGGATTAGAAGTTGAGATTTGGATTGTAACATCTGATACATCCATCTAAACACATCACTACTTCACATTCACTCCACCAATAAATACAAGTACATTTAATCTTGGGAGCCATGAGGAATGCAGGAAGTCTGCATCATTACAGGTGTGGTGAGCTAAAACACACTGTGGCTGTCCTGCCCAGCTTCACACAAACTCTGATGTTAACTCGCTGTTCAAATTGAACGTTCATTCTTCTCACAGCACTGCAACTGACAATTGACATGGGTTTTTCTTCCATGTCCTGCCACCTAGCGGAGGTGAAGCGAGCTAACATTAAAGTGTCCTGTATTTATAACACCCTTTCCAATAATCACACATTTACCTAAGCCGAGATATTAAATCAGTCTTGAAGTTTTATGGACAAAGGTTGTATATACTCAAATTCATAATGACAGGTACTTCTGTAACTCTTCTGAAGGGGAAAAAGGACTCGCCTTCCATTCAGCCAAACATAATACAAATCTCTGTTTACATCAGCACAAAACAAAAGAGGTTATCAGAAAACTGCCAAAGTTCAAGACTGAGAGATGTAAGTTCAAATCAAGATCAAGCATTTTCCCCTTGATTACATCTAAAAAATTCAGAACCTAACATAACACGGGACCAGTACTTCATCCGACGTATCCTGGTGCACCCATCTTCAGGAATCCGCCCTAATATTTATGTGTCATGCATCCAGTTTTGTCCCAGTTCAAAATACAACACTGTTAAAGACAACTTTGTAACTTTGTAATCACAGCATAACACAACACCTGAAGAAATAGAAAGACAACTTTAAGACTACTGAAGTATAAGCAGACGAATATTCCACCACGCTTCAAGCATTATTGCATGTCATTTGCTGTGGCTGTGCGTACTGCCAGCATTTAGGCCAATGCACAGTATCACACAAAACTGTAAGTAAATTAAATACAATTTCCTACAATTTCCACAGAAATACAATATAAATAATGAACATTAGTCAGAAATGAACTTTCAATCACATTAAAAGAAATTACTAATTTTTCTTTCTCTAGGAAAATAAAAGAATACATAGGCCTGAATTATACTAACCTAGCTGACTACTGTATTCTCCTGCACCCATTCGAAGAATGTATGGTATCACACTATCTATCTGTACATTTCCTATCAACCCAGCAAAAAACAGTTCTTCCATCACTTGTGGCTGAAGTGCTCGTAAAGGCGGAAGTCTCAGGAGAAGACGAGGGAACCTATCCCTGTCTTCAGGGAAGGTCTGATTCACGTAACAGCGTAGCTCTTGGAACGCCTTCTCCTGAAACTTTTCTACTTGTCTCCTAGCTAACAACCCAGGATGATCTGCAACAATAAGGTCATGAGGTGTGTCACTTTATATAGTTCACAAATACAACAACAATTAAAACACATTTCCAGGTTGCACCAACCTTTAGAACATGGATGACAATACAGCTGAGATAGTGCAGGCAATCGTACAAACATATACAAGGTGACATACAACATAAGAAGCTCTCTAAAAGATGCAAGGTTCTCATCATGGAAACAATGAAAAGACATGATAACAATTGAACATTGTTAGTGTTATCTGAAGTGTTCTGTTTATATTTTCTTCTACCTGTTGACAGAGTTTGGCATCCCCTTAATTTCTACATAATATACAACTAACGTCACGAAGCACAGTCTTCCTTGGGAAGCAAAGAGTTATTCAGATATTCAAGGAATTTATTGTCTCTTAAGGAAACTAAAGGATTATCACAGCCTTTATGAAAGTCTGCCATTGGACCCTACCTGAAGGCACAAGAATCTCTCTATCAAAGTACAGGTTTCTGCAGTGATGTCTTCCTTTCAGGTTTTCTGCAACCAAAATTTTGTACACATTTCTAATCTCTCCCATGCATGCTACATCCCCAAACATCTTGTCCTCCTGGATTTGATCACGCTAATAATTCACTGGTATTTGCTCAACAGTACAAATTACGAAGTCCCAAACTATGCAAATCTTCAGCATCTTCCTGTTATCTCATCTCTTTTAGGTCCAAACATGTTCCTCAGCACACTGCTCTTAAACACCTTCAATCTATGTTTTCCCATAGGACCAAACACACACCCATATAACATGAAAAAGAAAAACACAAACACATACAAAACAGTAATAAAATTCCTCAATTTCTAATATTCACTACAAGGTGTCAAAACATCTTCTTACGAAACATCTAAACCATGTCATAGAAAAGAAAATGATAAAGAACAAAAATGCTTATATTCACAAAAGCTTTCAAGATTTTCAAAGTATGACATATGGTGATTAAAAATGGGCCTGATTCACATTTTTTGTTCATGATAAACTGTAATATCCATAAATAAATTAAACTTAGAGTCAACAGTTTATGTTTTGCAACATAACTAAGGGGACTTTCAAATTACAGTGCCCAAAAAACAATGATCGCATATTAAACTCTCAATTATCAATGGTAATGGAGAGGAAAAGTGATACAGACAATTAAAAAGGAGGAAACTCCAAAAATCTAGAAATACCACTATCTATGACATATCCAACCCCAAAACCCACTCATTACTTTGAAATAATACCTTTAAACTCATGTTTTTCTAGCTGATTTCAAATGTCCTGCAACTTCAATACAAAAACAAAAACAAGCTTAAGATGATGCACTCAAAAGTAATCCATTTTATTCTCAAAGCCACATGCTTAAGTTTACTGCCACTTTACTAATTGAAAAAAAAAACTCCGTAGCCTAGAACTATACCGCCGCTTGTCGGTGAAGTTAGTGCCAACTTTAGTGGATAGATGGTGTCGCATGGTCAGCACAATGAATCCCCACTGCCAGTAATCTCGGTTTTCTAGACTGGAGCCACAATTTCCTTGAAATAGCTCCTCAATTATCTTCACAAGGCTGAGTGGACCCCATTCCAGACCCACTATTTCTCAGAAAATCTGGTAGCGCTGGGAATCGAACCCAGGGCCTCTGGATCTATAGCCAGGAACTCTGACCACTAGACTGAATACAGAATAAAAATACAAAGAGGTTTAAGTAACATTATACTGACTACACTACACTAAATGAGGATTATTTATTGAATCCAAATTCACTAAATATGGAGGGAAAAACACATTATTTGGCTGGGACCAGAAGAAATATTCACTAAATGTTGAAGCAGTACATCAGGGTTTCACAGTATTTCTGACAAGCATGGAGCAGGGGAGCTGATCTCAATTATTAGCAAAATACGGGTGCACCCACATGTACATGGTCTGACAATAATGTTCGCGAACTCATCGCAGTAAAAGTGCTACATACCTTATTGCCGACTCAAAGTACTCCCCTTGAGAAGCTATGCACTGGTGTCAGCACCTAGTCCACCCTTCAAAACAATTTTGGAACTGGTTTTGTGGACTGGGCTTCAGAGCTGCTGTTGTATTACTCCTGATGTCATCAATGTCATGCCTTCTAATATTTCTTTTATCTTCGGGAAGACAAAAAAGTCACTGGGGGCTAGATCCGGCAAATAAGCACAGTTACTTGTTTACCAGCTAAGAACTCCCTCACAGACAGTGTTCTTTGGCGAGCTCCTTTGGGATCATTTTTGCACATGCTTTCCTCATGTCAAGATTTCCTTAACTGTTTCTTTGTCGATGTTCACTCCTTCTGCTATGCTCCTGATAGTCAGTCGATGATTTTCATGTACAATTTGACAAACTTTTGCAAAGTTTTCTTCAGTTCCGCTTGTTGCTGGCCGTCCTGATCTCTCTTCATCAGTGACACTTCCTCTTCCCTTAGAAAAACGTGTCACCCACTTGTAAACTGCTGTTTTCATCATAGCATTATCCCAGAAAACTTGCACTAACATCTCTCTGATTTCACTTTCACTCATGCAGAGTTTAACAAGAAATTTAATGCTCGTTCACCGCTCTAATTCAAGCTCTGACACTCTCAGGACAGCTCACCAAAACACACTCAGAAAGAGACTGTCACAGATCAACAACAACACAGCTGCGAACCGCTGATATGCCAATGTCATCAAACCATACTGACATTTCTGTCCACTGTTGCCATGGCAAGCACATGGTGTCAAGCTTGCAAACTTTATTGTCAGACCTCATACTTAACTTCTCATTTTGTGATTCTGCATTTTCTGCAGCATGCCATATACAACGCCCATGTTGACATGTTCACACCTATAAAATGTTTTCACTCTGCAGAAAACCAGTCACGTGATAGCCATCTCACCAGATCATTGGTGTGCTGTTGCCTAGCAATGACCTATAAAGATCGTCCTATTGCTGAGCGTGATTATGCGAGGAGATGTTTATCACACTGTTGCCTAGCTATATGCGTTACAATATCGTTTCAACAGAAGAAAGAAACCCTTGTTTAGTGGTAGTATGCCAAAGCAAAGGCAATGAAGTGACAGAAATCTGCAAAGGGGTGAAAAACTGTACAGTCTACTGCAAATCATTGTAAAGCATCACTGATATACACATATTACTGAAACAGATATACTGGGCAACACTTAAATCATTATGGGAAGCTATTATCAATACCTGTGAGAGTTCTCAACAACCCACCCACTTCTGACAAACTGGATAAACAGCTCACAATCAGCAGTCTACTGTACTGTGACATGTAAATGTTTCTAGGAAATGAATTGGCAAATATGTTGCCATGGAGATATGATTCTTGGACAAAGGTTCCCATGGATACGAAAACTGGAAGTTGTAAACTCTTGAAAACCCGAGTGTTTCTGCAAAATTAACACACACTGCCATGGAGATGTGGATTCCTGGAGACTGACTTAGTACGGAACACGTTTCCATGTCAACGGAGAAGCAACAAATATTTTCCATGGTTACCGCTAAACTATAAAAGCAGCTGTGCAGAGAACACATTCATTCATCATTCATCCTTAGTGGTTCACAAGTCATTCATAGAAGATGTGTGATTCGTAAATGAGAACCAATTCAGTCACAGTAGAAGACAGTTGCAGTCCAGCCAGAATGATCCAATCCAATTATTGGCCACAGAACCCCAGACACATGACAGTACTGAATACAAAAATATTGAGATAAATTGTGTCCATAGACATGTACATAAGTCTTTTGTTTAATGTCACTGTTGTCTTGGAGAATATTTACACTGGTAACTCTAACAGCAGCTTCCCTGTTACGTTAAACTCACCCGCACTAAAAAGTGTTATTGCCTTGAGGTATGCATATTCGTGTTCATCAACCTGTAGTCGTGCCATGCCATTCACATACTCCTGCAATTTGCAGATGTGATCTGTTACCTGCAACAACAAACATGACAGTCCCAGTAACAAAACACAGACAGTCCACATACGCCTTCTTGTTTCATGGCACTGAATATAAAAACAAGTTCCTGAAAATGAATCTGTGCTAAGGCTCATGTGAATTGCAGTACGAGACAGGAAAAAGACCTTCCAGGCAGGGCTCCTGAGAAGTAGACGTGGGTTTAGATGGAAAGTAAACAAGATTATCTATGCTATTTACATACAAAGATCAGGACATGTGACAAATTTCTAACTTCTATCATCCATGGAGTCAGGATAGCATAGTTGGTATAGTGACAGGCTACAGGCTGGATGACTGAGGGGTTGGAGTTTGAGTTCTGGTGAAAGCAAGAATTTTCTCCACGTCATCCAAACTAGCTCTGGGGTCTACCCAGCCACTTAGCCAATGGGTACCACAGGCTCTTTCTTCAGGGGTAAGATGGCCAGGGAGTGAAGCTGACCACTCACCTCAGTCTAGTGTCAAAGTCAAGAAAATGTCGATCTATACATCCACTCCCCCATACACCTTCATGGTGTAGTGCTTAATTAGTTAAGCAACAGAGACAACTTTCCTGTCCAGGTATAGGGGGTTTAAAACCCTCTGTACTACATGAGCATCAACCATTTTTTTAATTCAGGGTAATCGTTTGCTGTCATGGAATATGGGATTTAAAATTTACTGCTTCTACAGGTCTGGCAGCCATATTTTAACCCATGGGTAATGGTATTAGCATTGAAAAAGTGCAACACTCAAGTCAGGTGGACTGCACAATGCATCTTCCCATGAATTTGATACATAGATGACAATGATTAAAAAGGCGTGAACTGTTTCTTAAAATTTGTATTTGTAGTGGAACTTAAATTTAACATTCCTTAATTAAGCCTTTCCCCCATTTAACGTTCAAATTCAATGACCTCAAATCAATCCTGGTATTAAATTACATCAGTTAAGGTTTTCTTCACCTTTGTGCTCAAATCTAATCTTTCCCAAAACACCTTAAATGAGGGGTTTTCACTCTACAGCATCTTCCCTCATTTTGGAAGACTTAATTGGGCTTCTTAGTTCACAAAAACTAAGGTGATGGTTACAATTCAAATAAATAGTCTCAAACAGTGTCACATTATCACCAAATAACTCTGATCATGTCACCTGTTTTATATGTAGCGCTGAAATCTTCTCTTGCGCCACTGATGCCTGTAGGTGATTTATGATTGATGACAGTATGGTGGGCAATGATAATATTTCTGAACACTGAGCCAAACCCAAGGCAAAAAGTTCAGCCCAGCAACCACGCACCAGGACCGCATGGGTATCAGAACTGTGAAAAGGACATTGAGAGCTACACAACTGTCTATGGAAAGGAGCAAGAGAAAGAGGCATGGCTATTTATTACACATCTGACCATACATGACTACCAACTTATGAAGGGCCAAACAACAAAAATAATACAAGTTTAAAGTTTCTATTGTAGTGAGAATTAAGACCACAGTCTTCTTGAAGTAAGTCGTTTCGACCCTAAACATGCAGGAAGCATGTTTCTCTCAAACATTGGTACCCACCAGACAACCACAACATGAACAAAAATGGTTATGCTCAATGAATGATAATTTCCTCTAACACGACCACATATTAATTCCTAATTAATGACTTCAGGAATATTGGAATACACAATATATCTTTACACAAGCTTGGTTTTACACTACATATGTGGTAAGTCAGATAGTGTGGCACCAGCTTTCACTAGATACAAAGGTTTCCATTAAGTTTTAGAAATTGGAGGCCGCTTACAGAAATGTAAATTTTATAGGTAATTTTTTGACATTTTTAGGTTTAAGGTCTTTTTTTCATTTTGGGGGTGATTTTCTGGTAAATTTTTGGGCTTTTAAGGACATTTCTTGTCATTTTTGGCCATTTTAGGGAATTTTTCTTCATATGTTTTCTGAAATGTGAATAACATGGAAGCGAAGTGTTCTTTCTTTTCTCTTTTAGGTCATTTTTCTGGATTTTTTGGGTCATTTTTTAAATATTTTCAGGTCATCAAAATCCAGGCCCTGCATATTACATTTTTGGGTCATATTTTAGGTTATTTTTCTGGATTTTTTGGGTCATTTTTTAAATATTTTCAGGTCATCAAAATCTGGGCTCTGTTCATCACTAATGATTATGTCTTCAATATTGTGAACATCTATCATTACTACCAAAAAAAGACTGTCCTGAACTTCATTTTTCGACTGGGATGACCAGCGACATCTCTTTATGTAGAGGTTTGAGAGACGTTAATATCACTGTTTACAGAGCATACCTGAGCAGCTGGAAGGCAGGGATGCTTCTAGCCCAATGTACTGACAGGAATAATAATCTTGACGCACTTTCACAAATATAATGCACATTGAGGTAGGCTGGCATGGGACTAGGTGTCTGCAAGTTGAAAGGGATATGTTGCTCCAGTAACAGAACCCCTTCCAATTCAAACACTCCTTCATTTTCATAATCCACATTCAATCCGAAAGCATCATTTCCATTCAGGTTCTGCAGCCAAAAAAATCAATACACACCAAAATAAATTATAAAGAGAACAAAATGTATATCTCAGGAACATAACTAGAAATGCAGAATACAGTTTAAACTGCAAGCCGTCATGTTGTAGAGCAGCACTTGCTTCCAAAGTTATCCTTCCTGGCTAGGTTTGGTCTCATTTAGTTGTGTTAATCATGTTACGGCCACGCCATAGCTCAACCATTTAGTCGCTGGCTTCCCACCGCGGCAGCCCAGGTTCGATCCCGGGTCTGTTCAAGTGGAATTTGTGGTGGACAAAGTAGCACTGGGACAGGTTTTCTCCAAGTACTTCAGTTTCCCCTGCCAATCTTCATTCCACCAATTGTTCCACAATCACCCTCATCTATCATCTGGGGCTGGTACAATAGGCCAGAAGTGGCCGCACTACAAGGGACTTAGTCCCACTCCACTAGCAATATAAAAAAAGATCATGTTAACTTACAAAAACACTTTACCTTCCCAGCATTTTTATGAAGAGATGATAATTGCAGTTTATGTTACTGATCAGGCAGAATGATAATATAAGTTTCTTTGTGCACCATACATACAAATATCTGAAATATTTTAATATACACCAAAGTATGCCAACCTTTGCTACTGTCTCCAATGCACGAGAAATTAAATTTCTGTCCCGTGCTAGATTGTAGGCATCACTGATATCTTCAGTTGCTAGAAAACTGTCTGTGGAACCATCTTCTTCAACACTGACTTGACTTGGAGACATCTGATGTACACTGTCCCCATCTGAAACAAACAGCCACAAACAATTAATCAGTACACATGCAAATATGTTTAACTACCATGGAAAGAAACAATGAAGTAACTCTTCTGGCCTTTCTCAGAATGCTGCATTGCATTCACTTCTGATCACATGAAATGTTTCATTATTATTATTATTAGAGGGGGTGGGTTTCCCCATGCACCATGACTAATAGTCTACTGTACATCCCCCTTTGATATTCTACCAGTCGCCATACCCTACCAGTACTGGTGCGTGCTATCAGCCCCGTTCAGCCAACGAGGTTCGCCCTTGGTACCTGATACTTCCCCCATCTACCAGAGGCATTGGAAACTACTTGGGCGGGAAACTTTTTGCCTAATTTAGCTCAGAGGTCTCCCAGAGACATGAGGATCTTTTACGTGCCGTAAATCTACGACACAGGACCCACGGCTTAAAGTCCCTCCTGGAGGACTTGTTCCCGAATTTTTCCGCCCTTAAAAATTCCACGATCTCCGCCAGGTTTGAACCCGCGTACCTTGAGTTATGAGGTGGGAACGTTACCCCTAGACTACGGAGGCTGCTCACATATACTGTTTCTGTTAAGAGTTGTTAATTCAGAAATTCCAACATTTCTGGCCAGTCATGAGTTGCTTTGCAATTAATTCTTCTCTCCAGTCACAAAAGTTTTAACGTTGCAACAGTACAGGCATCTGTGAGTAACAACAGAAACAACACCATCAACATAACCTATTTACTGCATGGCCCTCTGGAAATACGTAACAGGCAAAATTTTAAGCAGTTGGCTGAATTAAAGAAATGAATGTTGCTCTATCCAAAACTATGACAGGTCTTTGACTGAATGCAGTTCTGAAATTCATCACTAGAAGTATGGAGATATTTGGAATCTGAAATAAATTTCATCACATGAAATTTTACAACTGCAATTCACATCAGAGCAACAGACAACCCAGACCAAGTTTCCAAATACACACATCTGTTTCCCCTAATTTGCAATTTTTTTTCTCTAAATTTTAAAATTTAGAATGTAGAATTTTTTTTTCTCTAAATTTTAAAATTTAGAAAAATTTTAAAGGGTTTAAAAATTAGAACTGAAGATTTTATAAGTGCTAATTCAAAGAAATCAAAATTGACGTGTGTAAATAACAAAGATATCAACGAAGTAGATTTTGGTAATAGCAACGAAAGTGAACAATCAGGAAGACCTATGCTTTTAAATTTTAAATGTTATAAATAAGTGCAGTGTAACAGATACGTGAGTGTGTACGCCTGATGATGGCCGTCTGTGGCCGAAACATGTAGTGTGTAAAAAAGAGCAAAACGAAAGACCTATAATATATAGTTTGCACTTAAGATGGAGTTATATCATATATAATAAAACAGAATGATAACAGAAATATAAAAAGTTCTATTACTAGTAGTTTTAAAACTAAATATTCACATGTTTATACATAACCCCATTTCTCTGTTGCATTTTCTTTGTAATATTACTTTCCTCCTTTCCATGATTTGAGGAAGAAGTAGAAGAAAACTGTGTTGCACAAACCCTTAATGAAGACACACAATAAACTTCAGATTTCTGGCAATATGTAGTACCACCTTCTAACCTTCACACAATGCCATGCCATCACATTCATTCATGCTTTTCCCTTCATTCTGACCTGCAGCACCTAGGAAAATCGCCTACAAGATTATATTAAAATGTCTCACATTTTGTTGCATTCTGTTGTGTAAACCACTCAATATTCGACATATTCTTGTCAACACAACACTATTTCCAGCTGTCTAGGTTAACATGTTTTGGCACGTTTGCCATTTATACATCCAATTTTAATTATAACTATTATACATCGTATTTAGAATAAATTTTCATGTAAATCATGTCAATTCACCTGTGTGTTAATGCGTTTCTATCACGCAATTCACAACATCAATCATTTTAATTCCTGAAAACATTTCCTATATAATTAAAAAATTAAATTACTTTCTAAAAAATTATGGGTTAAAATGAATATAACAAAGAGAAATTCAGAAAGTGGTTCATAAAAATAAAAAATCTTTTTGAATTCCGATGAACACAGACGAAAGGAGAATGTGTTACACATTTTTGAGAAAACTGATTTCTATAGAATACTTTGCAGCTGACAAGCATTCTCATATTTTTTACAATTAAAAGTTATGATGTTGCTGTTTGTATTGGTAGGATAAGTGAAAAAAGTATGTGAGAACAATCAACACCATATTCAGATGAAAGACTGAAACAAAAGAGTCAATGCTACTAGAGTAACACATGCCAAAGCATCTAAAACAAAAGGACAAGAAAATACTAAATATATTCTTATAAAAATTCAATCTAACCTGTTATTTTAGAACTCATCAGTCCAAGGTCAGAAAGGCTAAAGGCAGGTGGCAACACTGATGATTTTGAGTCCATGACCAAGTCCTTTCTGATGAAAATCTTGTTTGCTGGATTTGAAGAGAAACCCGATCCACTGTTGTTCATGCCAACAGATGATGAAAAATCTCTCTTCTCAGTCATTGGCTTTCTCTCATGCTGGACGGCTAAAACATGGGGAGCTTAGAATGTTTCTCGTGTCTGTTTCGTACAACATGTTGGTGCTTTACGTGGCTTGCACATTATATAAGCAATAAAATATTAACTTCTAGGTCAATACTTCTACAAATCTGAAGTGAAGACTATGATTCTACTCAATACTAATGAAAGATACAGCTATTAGTAAGGTAAAGGTAACCCCTATAATTAAAGAGCATGCCATGAAGATGTATCCATGCATATAATTAAGCACCATGCCATGAAGCCATACGGTGAATATCACTAGATGGAAGTGAGGGTTACACTTCATAGTCCAGTCACTTTACTCCCTGTACCTACTGGATAAGTGGATGGGTGAATCCAAGAGCTGGCCAGATTTTGTGGAAAAGGGCAAAATCTCTGCTCCTGCCAAGAATCAAATCCCAATCCCCCAGCCCATAGCTTCATCATTATACTCAGCTAACCAGCTTCTAACTGTTGTTAATTCAACAACATTAAACCATGAGCAGTAGCAGCATCATCATCCCTACTACATAATTAAGTGCAATGCCTAGAAAGAGACATCAATGTTGGCATATGCAAGGGATGAGCTGAACTACTAATAAGGATCAAATTATGTAACAACTTATGAGTTTTTTATCTTCCTAAAGTGCTTCAATACAAGCACTTCATAAATACTGCTACTATCAGATACCCACCGATGGTGTCTCCACCTTATTGTGGTGGTGGGGTTTGAGTGCTCCTCAGACGCTGAGAGATATCCCGGCAGTAACATAGCTACTGGACAGGTCAAGGGGTAGGAGCCAAACAAAGAGAGTTATCCTGGTCCTCCAGGTTTGGGGTTGGGGCGTTAGGCTAACAACCTCACACCATAAAAACTAAAATGTTCAGAAACCAGACAATCAGCCTCAGACGGATGGATTGCATGAATATCGATATCAGCGAAGGAGCTGAGATGGTTGAAGAATGTACATAATGACCTCTGTAAAGTGAAAGTGAAAGGATGTGGAGGAAAGATGAACAGAGAAGAATGGAGGCAGATTGTTCTGGAGGCCAAAGCTCAACCTGAGCTGCAGCATCGAGGGGAAGGAAGGAAGGAAGGACAGAAGGATATCAATAATGTGAACCAACATGGCTGAACAAGTAGATGTCATAACAGACATCTGTCATGGAACTGAAACATAAGAATGTGAGGATGACCACCTCTTCTTACATTCATTACAAGATGTGACACTACACATTTTTGAAAAAAAAAAAACGGTTATAATTGATGAGTTAAACAGAATACCTGTAATAAACAATTTCTGCACACAGGTATTTAGATTTTAAAATTCCTTGTCCTGAATAAGTTTCAAGAAATAATAAGAAAAAACTGTTAGCTCTTTTTACATATAATTATGAAATGTTTACATATAATAATACCTACTCCCTCCAACCTTCATAACAAAACATACACTTGGAAACACACAAACCCCAAAACATTATAAAACCTGCAAAATTTATGACTTCAGCTCCAATTTCTTTTTACTTCATTTCCAACTGTGATTCAAATCAAATACCACATAAATCAGAAAGAATATTTTAAACTTTAATTCTTTGACACCTTGACAAAACAATCACTCAAGGAATCAAACAAATAGAAGTCTGCAAGAGTTTACATATTTAAGTGAACTTCCTACCAACACCAGTCACTGCCTCCATGCTGCTGTTTCTCAAGTGCATCATTTGAACAACTAATCATGCCATGCACACTGTGGGATGCACAGCGTGGAGAATGATCTATGTTGCGGCACAAACGTGACAGGTTAAAATGACACCTTACTTGTCAGACAAAATAACTTTTCTCAACAGATTCTATACAGCCAGAAAGCATAAGCCAATTAGCAGACTTAACATCAACAAAAAGCATACCTTTTAAATGTGTGTTTTGCATCACACAAATTATCTGGGGGCAGACTGAGTGACAATCAGAATAAGAATCTGTTAAACAAAACACACAACAGTATTAAAGTGAGCATAGAAGAAGGGTGGTCATCCCGGAAAGACAAAGGATTAAAAGGAGTAACAGAAAGCACAAACCACCTAAGTAACTTCTGAGATCCTTACAATCACTTCTCATGCCCATAGCCAGGCACTTCTGAAGGCGGCAATACTGACACCGATTTCTATGGTGTTTCGTCACTTCACACTTCTTGTTCCCACGGCACTGGTATCCCAACTGCTTACGAATTGAGCGTTTAAAGAATCCTTTACAACCTTCACAGCTAATTGCACCATAATGACGACCTGAAAATTAAAAAACACCAAGTACATTACAATACATTATAGTGCTGCTTTACCAGAAACATCTGAAATATTTTCACAAAAAAGGTAAAGTTATCCCTGTTCTTAACTAACTAAGTACTATGCCATGAAGGCATATGGGTGTGGTGTAGAAATCCACATTTTCTTGACCTTGGCAAGGGTTGGAGGTGAGTGGTCAGTTTCATACCCTTGCCACTTTACCCCTGGGGAAATAGCCCCCAGTACTCGTCGGATAGGAGGCTGGGTGGGCCCCAGAGCCAGTCTGGACAATGTGGAGAAAATTCTTGACCCTACTGGGACTCAAACTCGAACCCCTCAGTCATCAGCCTGTACCCAGTCACTATACTGACTATGATATCCCGGCTCATGTAAAACTTTTATGAGGGGCACAAGAGACATCAAACTTTTGAAGAGAGAGAGTATGCGAGCGCGCGCGTTTGTGTGTGTAAAGGTAAACTTGTCCGTGTGCTTAACTGATTAAGCACTATGCCATGAAGGCATATAGGGAGTGGATGTAGAGATCCATGTTTTCTTGACCTTGGCACTAGTTGAGGCTAGTGGTCAGCTTCAAGCCCCCAGCTGCTTTACTCCCAGCAGAAAAGCTTCCCAGTACCCACTGGATAGTAAGATGGGTGGGCCCCAGAACCAGCCCGGATGACATGAAGAAGTGAAAATGTTGCCCCTACAGGGACTCGAACTCTGACTCCTTGGTCGTCCAACCCATAGCCAGTTGCTATACTGATTGGGCTACCCTGGTTCCCAAGTGTATGTACGTGAAGTTAATAAGTATCAAATCATGATTAATGGACATGTAACATGTAGAATATACTGAACATCAACCAAACCATATTTATACTCTAACTACCAAAGGGGACCAACTAATGAAACTTGTATATTTTAAAGAAGAAATAAAAAGGAAGAGAAACTGAAATTAATAGAAAATATGCATTTGTTTTATTGACTTTATTATATATATATATATATATATATATATATATATCAGCTACATGATGGTCTCTAAAGTGATATATGTCTGTGTACGGTAGGTCTCTCACATCACAGCACAGCACAACTGACTGTCAGATTCAGCCACCTGGTGTGTCTCTCATATGGCACGTCTTTGACTTCTGTCTCAAGTGGTACTCTGAAGTCTTCCATCAGAGAACACAATTTTTCACAAGACCACCAGAATGAACAGCTAGGCTTGTTTAGTTTTTCATTTATCTAACTGTGAAGAGCCCAGACACAAATGAAATTCTCTTTAACAGAAAGGCCAGAGAGATCTCAAAAACAGCATTTCATAACTTCATTTTAAGAACTGGATTTTAAAAATGCAACAGAAGCTCCACCATGACCACAAAGAATTATATTCTTGTCCAGAAAGCGACAATACTTATGAGTTGTCACATGACACCCGACTCAAGAGGAAATGCATAAAAAGCAAAGTCACCATTGGTGTTTCTCTGGGGACCATTAAAGGTTTGGACATCAAACTGTGACCAAAAATAAATGGTGAAATTTCACACTGAGATTACTGGCTGACAATGACTAAAACTAAACATTAAATGAAGAAAAATTTTAACTACAGAACATTAGCTGGAAGTTCCGACATATCACGAGAAAAAGTGAATTAGAAACAGGACCTTGGAAAATACATTCAGGAGTCTGAAAAATTGGCAATCAATGATGTAATTAATTTGAATCTTCCTTTCTTTTTCTCCAGATAATCATGTTGCTAGGTCTAGAAGGGGGCACTAAGATTGTGTTGTTAGGGGAGTCATGAACGGTCATGAAGATGAGCTGACACAGGGAGAGTGGAATTCCATACGCCTGTGCTATTTTGCTTTTACTCTTTTCCTTTTTATTGACTTCCCTAATCACTTATAGTTTTCCGGCAACTGTCCTTCCCAGGTATTTTCACTACTTTTCACTCACACTTTACACTAGTGGATGGACTAAAAAATGAATTCTGACCAACACTACAGAACAACAGTGTTTCCACACAGTTGTGAATGGTTGTGACTTACATAAAAACATGCTAATCAAACCAGCCATGACCTCAAGCTCCCGCATATTCTTTTGTGGCTGGAAGGATTCTGGGGGTGCATAAAGTACCACTCAGATTTCTTCTAGTAAAACCAGCAGAAATTATGACAAAATAATTTAGAATAATTAAAATTTTATGCCACTGTTAGGCAGAACTGTAACTTTGAATTAGAAATTAACCAAATTTTGAGATAACCAGCTTAAAAACCATAAAAAATTGTATACTTTATACTGGGGAGTTTCATTTTTTTGAGTTAAATAGTGTTCTGGATTAACCAATATAGAATTAACAACACTTTACCATTCTAGTAGGTGAAACAAGTTTATGTTGCCTTGTATACACACCTGATGCCCTGTCACCACAAACAACACACAGCTCAACACCCAGACATAATGAGCGCACTTTGTCCTGCACCACAAGACCTGTACTCATATCTATGTCCAGCATTTGCTCCATCTACATTGGCTAAGCTTTGTGGGGAAGTATAAAACCAGTCTGAAAGAGAGTGTAAAGCGCATTAGTTGCAATACTTTCTGAAGTGCCAAACGGCAATCAAATTATGATTATAATATTATTAGACCTGAAGTTCTCACAGTAGTGACTTTTAAGAGTTCTATCTTCTGGGATATAACACCATGTACCCCAATTTCAGAGGATGATACCACTTCAATCTTCAGGGTCAAAGTATAAACAAAGCAAGAAACACTTTGCTTCGTTTGCTTTTGAACTCTGAAAATGGAGGCAATATCTCCCTCTGAAACACTGCCTGACTTTCACTGGACTACATGGCATTATACCCCCCAATAACAGAACCAGTAAAGATCATCCTCACCTGGCTAGTGGTGTAATGTTAATACAGAAACGTTTTTCAACACTGGAGTTCTGTAATTTGTTCATTATGAGATAAACACAGTGAATTTCTTCTTGATGTGTATGTCCCAGTCAGACACCTGCATTGTCTGGTATCGAGTGATCAGTCCTGCAACAAAATTAGATGCACAACATAATTACAACCTGCTATATAAAAAGTCCAAATTGGATGTAAGATAATACTCGTATGTAAAGTATGTCCATCGATGATGACAACTTTATACTTTCAATAAATATCTGATCAAAGTCAAATTGTCAATAAATCAGTTTAATTTATTAAAATATTTTCATGGCAGTAATTTCCATTTCACATTTATATATTTATATGTTGCTTGCATGACTTGCATTGATTATCTTCATTCGCATGATTTTATCAGTTATATATTTAAAGTACACAGCTGTTGTGATTGATGAATATATTTTACATATTAGTGGCATACACAACAGGATGCCAAACATGCGAATGAATGTAGGATATTGTGAAGTTAGAAGAAACCATCTAACAGAACATGTTAATTTAATCAAAAAATGATTGAGCTGACAGAATATGAATGGAAAACTATTTGACAACACAGAAATATATAAGAAAATAAAATATTAGAAGCCTTTCAGTATAATCCAGGGTACAGACAACTGAATATAGCAGAGAATAACTGAATGCTCTGAGACACTGTATTTTGGTGCACTCAGCAGTTTAATTCTTTTAAAATCAGTAATGCAAGTGACACTGAACTGTAGAACTTGTTAATTCCTTTTAAAATTTCGTGAACACCACTGAGAATAACTGAATAGCCAGTATATACAGAGTGAAATAAATTGTCTGAATAGACATTATATGCAGGGCAGAATCTGTCATTTATCGATTAAATATGCATATTCAATAAAATGATTTCTTACTAAACTGACACATAAATTATAATTTTGAAGAGGGGAAATATATATACATTTCCCTAATTGAAACACTACTAATAAGATACTGTAGATTTCACTGGGCACATATATATATATATTTTTTTCTCAATACATACCTACATTACTTAAAAATATTTCAAATATGACTCACAAATCTATACTTTCACAATTATGTCATTTGACAATAAATAAAATTAATTTTTCTTTGAGATATCACATGTGTAAGTTTAATATAAGTCAACATATTTAAGGTGTCCTTTGTCCTCCATTTACTTCAAAGATGTACTCTAAAAATTTTTCAGGAAAATAAGAATCTACCAAGCCCCACCTAACTCCCGCATAACACCCCCTCCCCCCCAAAAACTTTGTCACACACAAAAGGTATCAAAGAATAATTAATTGCAAATTAAATAAACACAGTTGATAACAGTAACTGTAACTTGAATACAGCAAGTTTAAAAAAGAGGGAGCCAATCTTCTTCTGGCAACTATGAGAAGTTTAAGCTTATGATATTTTTCTAAAACACCAGTTAGCTACAATGTCTCAAAACATATATAACAAATAGCAAATTATTTTCTTATAAAATATCATCATTATTTACACCTGACCCCCTTAATGTGAAATGTGACCACTATCAAAACAATCAGAGCTCCTCAGCAATGAACAGAAATTTGGCTCAAGGAGCAGAAATCATCATGTACTTTGAAACAGCAAAGAACTAAATAACTATCATGAACTTAAAATTCTTGAGCATATGATTGGCGATCAATGGTTTCGATAATTTCTGAAGCAACAAACTGTATTTACAGAGATTGGATATCATAAAAAATAATAATTTAATTCACAGGGACAATCTTGGAGGTGCAATTTCTTGTGGTGTGCAACATTATTGTACTCAGAATTACTTGTATTATACTTCTTTCTTCTATAATATGTATTAACATTATGAGGTCTGGCAAATCATACATGTAGTTGTTGCACTCCAATGTTCTTCAGTTCTCTGTTCTAAAAATAACTCACAATTCCTGTATTATATTTGCCTCTCCTACATGTTTTGACCTTATAAGGTCATCAACAAGGTAGATTATATAATAGTTCCTGCACCATATATTTTTTTTGTTCCTTGCTCTTAACCCACAGAACCGAAGAACAATACACTGCAACAGTTACATACATAATCTACTTGCTGAAGACTTTGTAAGGTCAACACATGCTGTAGAAGAGGTAACACCAGTTTATGAACATGAAGTTGCACCTCCAAGACTGCTTCTGTGATTTAAATGAGTGAAACAGGATGCTGTAATATGATAAATGAAGTCTGATAACAAGCTTAAAGCAGAGATGAACACAAGTCTAACACACCACATGCCCACAACACATACACATACACACACAAAGATGGCATCATTCTCAGGCTGATTCAAGACTGGAATATGCACTTGAAAGCTGACAACTGAGTTTTCCTTAATCTAACACCAAGAAAGATAACATCTGATACACTGGAAACTTTTTACCATATTACACACTTACTGCATCCCAGAAGACTGCAGTTATAATATTCACTGACATGAGAGCATCAAATCCCATACAAAGTGTCCTTAATTAGAATGTGGTCTTCTGGTTTGAAAAACTCTGTATTATGGTAGATGGTTATCAACATTCAGGGAATGCTGCTACTGCTAACATAGCTGGGAACTACCTACTGTGATTACATACTGTTGCAATAATCCAAATCCTCTTCACCATGAACTCCTCAATCTCCTTCTTTACCTATCCTCCAATACACCTCTTTTTATTTACATTTATTTTCACTTCATGGATCCAATCATCTCCCTGTAGGGCTGGATATAAAACATGTCACATATTACAAATTCATGATGACTACACATCATTCGTCCTTTGTCCAATAAAATATATAATCAGGCCTCACACAGATAGCTCAAGTTGTCAGGACAACACACATGGGTTGCAGGAAAAGCCACTGTCAAATTCACCCCTTGCCATTCCACACACACACTGGCAAGCCGTATCTTCCAAACAGTTACATTATAAAATATTACAATTCATAACAAAAACAGACATCATACATGACAATATATCAACTGCAAGTGCTATACTGCACTGACCTAACCTGCTAATGGATTACTTATGAGATTCTACATTACCATTTCAGAGGTGGAATGAGTACTGAATATGTGTAATAGCATAACACTGTTACAGCCAAACACATTGCTGCTTTATGGTCATACCAGCAAAATAAAAAACTGTATTTCCTAAACAGTTTTTGAACAAACCATACAGAGAGGGCGATTATTACATAATTTTATCAACAGCTACTGAATCATCATTAAACATAATGCGAACATTTACAAACACCTGCAAACAAGGAAGTATCATGTTCCAAATTAGTTTTTAACAATTAAAAATACAGCAACATTTAATTAATTTTCATGACATCAAATATAGATGCTAATTACAGTGTACCATAAGACCTGCAATTAATGTGTATTATAGCTACAGTGCACCATAAGACCTGTAATTAATGTGTATTATAGCATATATTGCAGATGAGACATGTGTCACCAGTATGTAGTCCATTTACTAATTCAAGTATTTGGTTTCATTATACAGTCTGATATTTGTGGTATGAGCTCCACTTGACATTCTATCTGACTCCAACAGCGGTTTCATGTAACAGCGTAAATACAACATTCCAAAATGTGATCATTGATTTCTAGAACCCCTTCTTCCATTTAACAAAAAGTGCCCGATTTTAAGTTAACATAATAAAATTGGGTATTCAATTTCGGTACTATGGACAATAACAGTGACTTGGCTGCAACAAGCATTTACGAAAATAAGGAAATATATATTTTCAAGGTGCAAAACTCACCTGACAAAATATTCCGAACTTCAAACTGTTATAAGGTGAAAGTTCATGACCTTCACTTTACACACATGCCCTGTTGCCCTGTTGCGACTATACCGCGTCACGGTGGTCACGGTGGATAGTGGCAGCATTTACAAAGTAGCTGATTATACCAAGTAGATCACATTAGGTCAAACCTTGCTCGCCCCAGTAGAATATATATAGACAAGTTAAGAAAGGGCTGTAAGCCTGCTCATAATTATGGAAGCCCGAAAAGTCTTCCAAAAACTTATAAGAAGCTAAGTACACAGGATTCAATAACACTTCCAGAATTATCTCATATGATGTCGCCTAAATTATGGTGTTGGCGACCCTGTAACCTGAAAAGTGATTCGTGAAGCAGGGTTGTATGTTTTATGATTCTTCCATTCAGGCGTAAGGTGAAGGAAGTCAAATTTTCGTTTTATATCTGATTGACCACTTCGTTCATGGAACTTGGTTAAATGGAAACGTAACGTTTTCTTAAAGCAAATAATAACCACTGCCTGCCTAATAATACTCAATCTTTGGCATGTTACGATGGTAATTACGAATTTACTTCAATATAGAGGTTAAGTCTGTCCTGAACATAATAGTAGGCACGAGTTATTATTTCATACATGTGTATGTAGACATATGTAGTTGCAGAGAAGACTATAAGATATACTATTAATGATTTTAAGGAAATTGTTTGTGAAGATGCGAACCAGATGGGGCTAAAATTATGCACACTGATTTGTTTTGTGTTTTCATTATTTGAACTGTTGGTTGTGTTACTAGGGGGTTTTCATGTTTATTTAATTACTTGTTTGGTTTATTTATTTATTTATTTATTCACTTCACATCCATGGATCATTATACATGACACAGGAAAAGTCAAAACACACTATAATCCAATACAACGATACAATAAGACAATACAATGATACAATAATAGAATAATAAGAAGAACAATATAATTTTATACTAATATAATAATTAAATGATGAGCACTATATTTATCAGTCACAACACATCAAATTTGAGAATAGATTAACAACATGTTTCGGCTATTTAGCCTATTTAACCTATTTGGCAGGGGAAACCGAAGTACTCGGAGGAAACCTGCCCCAGCGCCAGTTTGTTATCACAAATCCCACTTGTTCAAATCACAGTGGTGGGAAGCCAGCCACTAATCACTTAAGCTCTGGCGCGGCCTATAAATTGATGTTGGAGAGTATGGTCATCTGTCATTATCCGGGTAGTTCCAGCCAACACCTCCTGCAATCCTGTTCTCTGCAAGAGTAAAAAAACAAAACAGCATAAGGTATTCCCACATATATGTTATTGTAAAGATGTAAGTCATTTATTCATTAAGTATATGATAACTAGTAATTATGATTTGATTTATCCCCAACCACGAAAAAGTCTTCTACCCTATAAAAACAATGATCCAGCAAGAATGTTTTCAGAGTCTTTTTGAATTTGTGTAGTACTGGTATCTCTTTAATATATTGTGGTAACTGATTAAACATCCGACATCCTATATTACTAAAGTTGTTTTTGCATAAACTCGTATTACATGGTACTGTATATAGGTTATCCTTTCTCCTTGTATTGTATGAGTGTATTTCGGAATTGATTGAGTAAGCACTTAAATTTGCCTTTATGTAAACCAACACTTCATATATATATAGGCATGGTCAGTAACTATTAGCTGCTTTTTCTTACAGCCATATTTTTTATAAGCAGTGTTTGGTTTTTAGGTGTTTCATTCCATAAGAAATATTGATTCCACTTGATACATGCATTATTAAAGAAGATACAGTAAGTTGTCGAAATTCCAAAAAGTCACTCCCTTAGTGGAGTGAAAGAATTCATTCATTCATTCATTTACATTCCATTGATCCTTACATGGCTGGAAGACGAGCGGATATAGAAATAGCCAAAGACAACAGGACAAATCCCATCAATTATGTAAATAAAAATTAATTATACTTAATCCATAACAGTTACACATATTATCCAAGATAAATCACAATTAGTAAATCATTAAAACAGTTATAAAGTAAAAGAATGCAACAAGTCACAGGGTTAATAAATAAAAACAAATATTTTGATGTCAGAATCACTAAGTGTAATTGTTTCTGTGCTTTTGTTCCAGTCTGGTAACCAGTTTATGTGCTGTTAGAATGGCATTTAAACTCTGATTCATCATGATAAGCATCAAGAAAGAATACTAGAAGAGGGAAGTATTATTTGCCCATCATTAAGCCATAGATCTGAAGGAGGCAGTGACAATGAAACAGTTATGTTGACAAGGGCTGTAATTAATATCTTCCAAAGCAAAGATATAATTAAGAAGATTATATTGAGCATAGTTATTATATTTATTTGTTGTTGTATGTTGCATCCTGGTCGTTTCGCATCATCACATTATCATTACATCAAATACTCTGATATTTCAAATGAGTTGGAACCAACACCACATGCCTTAGCATTGGTGAAAGAAACTGATAAGCCTCTGTGTTCACTCATTCCTAATGAATTAGAAACCTCATTACAGTACCCTAATGAATCTATACGAGAATATGATATTAGATATTTAGCAGATAGGCTTAACATTGAAAAAGGTGGAGCATGGAAACCACCAGAATGTATATCTCAACATGAGGTCGCCATTGTCGTGCCCTATCGAAACCGTACCATGCAGTTACAGATATTCTTGTCTTATATGCATCCATTTCTCCAGAAACAGATGTTAAATTACCGAATTTTTATCATTGAACAGTGGACTAAAGGTGCTTTCAATCGTGCCAAACTATTAAATATAGGTTATGCTGAAGCTTTGAAAATATTTCCATATCACTGTTTCATATTTCATGATGTAGATTTAATTCCCCAGAAACTGAGCAATATGTACGCCTGTACCCATCAGCCGCGCCACATGTCTTCCAGTTTAAATACATTTCGTTATAACTTGCCATACAAAGAGTTGTTTGGAGGGGCAGTTGCCATACTTCAGAAGCAATTTGAACTAGTTAATGGTTTCTCAAACATATTTTACGGCTGGGGAGGAGAGGATGATGATTTTCAAAGCCGCATAATAAACAGAGGCATGTCATTGTGTCGTTTTTCACCAGAAGTTGCAAGGTATACAATGTTAGCTCATTCAAAAGAACTGCCAAGTGAAAATCGGTTTCTGAATCTCAGATCAGGAAGAGATAGGTTTGAAACTGATGGAGTGAACACACTCAAGTACACGATCATTAAAATGGTTTATTACCCATTATATACCTGGATATTAGTTGATTTATAAACACAGCTCTGCCACTTGAGATCACTTTTCTGTCAATTTATATATTACTTTTATGACTGAAGCAAGTAATTGAACCACTGTAAAGGATTGCATCAGTGTTCACTCAATATAAAATCTTGTAGGTATACCAACTTGTGAAAGTAATTTATTATTATTATTATTTAAGAATTAAATTTGTTGTGTGTCTATAATTCTCTAAATTTACTGTAAAATACTCAAAAAATACCTGTTACAGACCTGTACTAATTCTGGGCACCAGTTGCTATGGCACCTAACATTTTCGTGGTTGCACCTATATGTTCTTCCTCTTATATTTCTCATAAGGAAAATTATTTTTATCCCTCTTATAGATGTTGTATTTTTATTCCCACCCCTACTTTCTTGTGCCTGTTTATTTGTTTCTCCTGTTGTCATTCCTCTCCCTCTTCCCTTTCCATCGCATAACATTTCCCCCACTGCTTTCTCTGATCATATTGTCACGTGTTTAGTGATTGTAGACAGGGTTTGGAGTGTAATCAGATTTATTGGACTCCTAAACTTGTAACTACGATTAATTACAGTGCTACCACTGATTCACACACTCTACAATACACTACAGCACACACCAAGTCTTCTCAGTCTGCTGTGTCTTCACCAGTTGCCGTCTGGTAACAGCCTCCAATGCTGTAGATTCCTCAGCTTCTGTGTTCCACAGCCTTGGTCCTTGCTGGCTGGCACATATTTCACAGCCATGTCTGACATCTGTTGGTGACCCCTTCCTGTTATTGGCTAGTGCTGACTGCATGCAGATTCTCTGTGTTCAAACTCACTCAACTCACTTGCTTGAAACCAAGTCCAAGTCACATTGTGACTGACAGTCGGTTGGTCAGTCAGTCAGTCAGTAAGTGTTGGTGTCGAGCCCCAGATATTTATTACCTTTAACAGTTACGGTCTTGTTTTCGTGGGGCGCCCTCTCTGACGAGATGACGGGTCTGCCTTTTGAATGTGCTGCTGGCCCTTGCCAGTGCAGTCTTTCTAGGGACTCAAGACCATATTTTACTGTCTCAGATTTGAGACTTCCCTTTTCGTCGCCTCTTACGACTCGCAGGGTCACGGTGGAGGTATTCGACCCCGCCTCCACATGGGCTGTCTGCTTGAAACCTTGAATTAGATCTCATTAGATAGCCTTGGGGCAGACCCCACAGAAAACACTGACTACCACAGGTCCTATATTGTTGCATGTATAACTGTTGCTGTGGTCACATGATGGCTACTGATCATTGCATAGCATTGAAAGCTTGCCATCATGTGTTTTCCATGCCTTAACGTAGTAGTTGATGTCTCTTCTAACTCCACAGCCCTGTTATAATATTTTTGTTTTTTACCTTTGCCTCCTTTTTCATGTGTTCTTTCCCCATCTATTTTATTTGTACATTCTATCATCGGTTTTTCTCCCCATATGCTAACAATAGCTGAAGATGTTTTCCCATGTCATAGCAATGGTGCATTGATATGCACATATTTCTAATGTCCTTTTGCTAATGAAAATGTGAAAATTTCTCACCTGAGATATTTTGTTCTGTATTCTTGCTCCTAGTTTATGGAGGTGAAACCTAAATTTTTATAAGTCTGATTTGTTCTTTGCCTCATTTTTATTCTCATCACAGTGTATATTTAGATACCAGCATTCTGCTTAATCACTTGATCCACAGTGACTGCTATCTTCATTTTCATCACAACAAAGTAAAGAAGAGATTCTCAGAATACCTGCAATTATGTGTTTAAACTACCATCTCACATGTCCTAGAGAAGTTGCCATAGCAGCAGTCAAAGCACACAAAGAAAAGCCTGTAGATTCAAACCTATGCCACTGGGTGGAGTGCACATGTATAGATATTCTCTGGCAGCTTTATTAAAATTGATAAGTACACAGGATTGGCTACTCTCAGGTTGCAAGTGGAAAGGTATTTTTGATTTGTATTTTATTATTGCAAGCTATAACGAAACACATGGGTGGACGTGGTAGCATAGTTAGTTGAGGCACTATGCTACAAGCCGGAAGGTCATAGGATTGAATCCCAGTGAGGTCATTGAATTTTTTCAATTTACCTAATCCTTCCATCTGCACTATGGCCCTGGGGTAGACTCAGCCTCTAACAGAAATAAGTACCAGGAATAATCTTGGAATATTCTTGGGGGTAAAGGGTGGCCGGTGCATAGAGCTGACAACCTTACTGCCATTTATAAGCCAACTGTCAAGAAAATGTGGGAACCTCAACACACAACCCTATGGGCCTCCAAGGCCTGTTACAGGGATACCTTTACTTTTATAACAAAACATACAGACTTCCATAATGGACTCACCACAATGTAAATACAGTCTTAATAATCCCTTTATGACGAATGTGTTCTGGAACATGATAGAAAATCAGGAGCCAACTTGCAGAAAAAGATTTGAGTCTCTCTGTTGGAAGTTTTTTCAGCATATCTCAGAAAATGGGGGCAGGAGGGTCCTCTGCATGTTTGTATATATCTACCAAAGTATATGGTGTCATATTCCAGAAGACTAAATCTTAATATTCAGCTTATGTAAACCCTCAGATCTTATGTCTGTCTAGAAATCTAGATTTTTCTTTCACTGGCCCACTATTCTGGATGGCACAAAAGAACTATATAGGGTTGAGGGTGAAAAAGCTACCTTCATATTAATGGCTGAGAGTCATATTGGGTACGCTTCTTGTCTTTCTTATGGTTTTATGGAACAGTTGAACAGAAATCCATCCTTTGTCTTTGGGACCATGCCATGAGGGTCTCCTAACTACAGGGTTTGTGGGGCCCTTCAGTACACCACTGAATATACATGTTCAAAATGCGGTGTATATACAGTAATGGATTATGAAAGAGCTGTGCCTTGTGTGTGCTGTGTAATGTTACATTATTAACTTATCTCTTGGTTACTTAAGGCAGTCTTGAGCATTTTAAAGTTAATTTAATACAGAATCAAATTTTCTCTTTAGTTATTCATGTATAGTCAACTCTCGATTATCCGGGATAATGGTGGGGATGGAAATCACGATTAATCGAAAATGTGGTTAAGACAAATTTTATTAAAAGTAGTACTGTAATACTGTACCTTCATAATACTATAGGCCTGCCTGTATTTAAATATATTCAACCTCATTTTTATGTCATCTCATGGCCTATTTAATACTTTTTTTACATTACACTGAAGTATGAATTAGTTATTTCAATCACAGTCTTCAACAACATCCAACACTTTTTACCAATATTAACACTTAAAAAATTTAATATTGTCGTTTACTTTTTCACGGAATTTTCCTTTTTCTGTTGAATACTTAACACAACACGCTTCCTTTTACACCCTGACATTTTGCTAACGCACTTGAAGATCGATACAAAAATACTAACTGGGGTGATGTATCTGTCCTTGAAACTTTCCACAAATCCTTGCATTCTTTCACCCCTACCCTAGAACATTGTGTTAGCATAACTGGACCAAAGAATGCAGAGCTCGGTTCACACTAGTGTGAAAATAGTGTTACAATTCGTGTTACAACAAAAGTGAATGAATATTAAACAACATATAAGCCTCAATAAAGCCTCAGTAGCCCCGGTTAAGCCACAAACCGGTTAATCTGCCCCCGGATAATCGAGAGTTGACTGTATTACCAAATTAAATAGCATGGATATTGTTTGAGCTTTAAATTATTTGTAATTTCACATAAATAGCTGGAAAAGCATTATTCACTTTCCCACAGTGAATGATTATTCCTGAAAAAGCAGAGAATTGATAAACTTTGTTTTTTCTGTATTTGGCAGAGCCATAAAATTAGAGTGCAGTGTGAATCATTCTCTAAAACATGAAGTGCAGGTCATCCCATTTCCAGGCTTAGTACTGCACTATATTGTAATACTGGCAGTTTCTCTGACATGTTGTGAGTAGTCTAAGCACATTCTTTTCAGGAGTCTACTTTAATCATTTTGACTACACACTAATCCTCTTTAATAGTCAGACATTACTAAAGTAAACATTTTTGGAACAACTTCACTATGAAGGACACTGTATTTGAGCTATTTTATCATGCAGTCACAAGGCATCTGCTACCAGACGTGTTGCAGAATTTTTTAAATTTATGTTTACTAGATTTAACACAAAGATATATGTTGAATAAATGTGGAAGGATGTATAAATAAGAGAAAATGTTGTGGTTTTAACTTTACTGGTACAAATACAGACAGCATAGGTAGATATAATGCAAGTAAAAGCAGTATTAAGTGACTGGATGCCCTATAGTAATCATATTCTGCATTTCTGAAATTCTTGTCTTTTCAATTTACATTTAATCACAGACCTATACTGTGTAAGTGGAAAAGGTTACTAGTGTAAAGAAAGTTAAAATCCCTTCCGTCGTGATAGGTCCACACACTCGGACCCTTTAGAACAGAACTAAATATTCTCAGTCCTGTGTTATTTTAAATATCTAAATTATATCACACATATCAGTTTATTAAACTCTGATTCATATTAGCTAATACATAATTTTAATAAAGAAATGTTTTCTTGAAATTGAACACTTCTCATATGCATCTTAATAAACCACTAATTGCAGATATAAATTTCAACTGATCTTTCCCCTGTATGGCTTTAAGCATCTCTGCTTACCCATTCCCTCATAGTAATCTCTCTCTTCTTTTTCCTAGCATCATTTCCATTTTATATATAAAAATTGAAAGTCTTTCAGCTCTTCTTGGTGTTTTCCCATACCTTCTTGTTCTGGTTCATCTCATAGGTCTCTTTCATTACAATTGGGTGCCCTCCTTGGTACCCTTATTTTATCCCTTCATTTTACACGGCAAAGTCATTGTTTCTGTTCTCTTTTAAAAGGCCTTTAAATCAACTTCTTTAACAATTTAAATTCTAATTCTGTTCCCCTCATTAATTCTAAAAAAAATTCATATTTGTTTCTTTGATTTTGTCCTTGTTTCTCTTTGTAAGGGTCCACGCTTAGTGTTAGTTTAAAATATAAAGATCATTGTTTTGTGTTATTTTAGGATCTCTTAGTTCCATGAGATTCTTTCTATAATTTGGTATTTAGAACTGTTGTATATTATTATTGATTTTTTTATTTTACCTTCCAAATTTATTTCACTTCCCATGTAAATAAATTTGTCCATTTGTTAAACCACTGTGTTGTTAACTTTTATTCTGATGTGTTTCCTTGAAATCCTGACAGCCACAGTCTTGTCACTATCCATGTTCAGTCCACAGTCCTTTATTATAAGAGTTCATTGATTTTGTTCCTTCTTATCTTTCCCTTCTATTAACAAATCACATAAAAATATTAATGTTTTCTTGTCTGGCCCTTTGCTTCCTCATCTGATTTTATTAGCAGTAACACCTATCATGCATTAAATAAGCCAGGCAGGAGGGCCTCCCTCATCTCACTCTACCATTTATTGTTTAATCATCCTGATTGTCTTAATTGCTTTAACACAGTTCATTCAATCACTGTATGTTAGCTTCACTTTGTATGTACAAAGATATTATGGTACTTCTGATCTTCTTAAGCATAACCAAATCTTTTCTCTCTTTATATTGTATGCTTTTTTTCAAAATATATAAATGTAATTGCCATGTCCTTGCCATATTCCCAGTGCTACTCACTTCTCTCATTGAGCAGGTCACATTTGCCATGGATCTCAGTGAAATGCAGACCGCTCCTCACTAATTGTTGCTTGTGTAACTTCCAGTATTTTAGTCACTATAGGATTCTGACGATGGTGTATAACACATAGAGATATTGGGTTTTCAGACTTTATCCATCGTCCACCGATTGAGGCTAGTTCTTTCTAAGGGACCCAACAGAATAGGTGTTTTCCCTCACCTGAGG